TGCTGAGTGCAGGACCCGCTGACAAAAAGCAGCAAGCCGGTGCCTCGGCGACAGGCACAAAGCAGTATGTATTTGAGAGCTGTACAAGTAAGAGGATCCGGGGGAAAGGGGGAAAGTGCTATGCAATTTTAGCTGTGCAAAGCCCTGGCATCCCGGGACAGGAAGAAGGCAATTTAAGCCTGGAAATTTGTGTTCTGCTGCAAACACTTCAGGCACAGTCCGCAATAGCGTTTTACTGACCCTGGAACTGAAGTCTCTGCTTCAGAAGTGAGTTGGCTACCCAGGTTTTGGGTTACCTCTGAAAGAGAGACACGAGTTCCTGAATCATCTCGGATTTTTCGTTTGTTTGTTTATTTTGTTTTATTTTTTTCCTCCTCATTACCAACCGAGGTCAGTAGGCTCCGGGGGGCATTTGGGGCTCTAATAAGTGTTGTGGCTGCAGGCCGAAATTTGTGTATCGCCTCGTTTTGCTAAGTATGGCTCTCTTTCAAAACGAAATTCTAATACATCATGTAATAAAGGACAAGAAAGAAAACAAATTATTATGTAACTTCCTTTATATATTTTGTCCTTGCAAATAAACTGGTTTGGAGGAGAAGTGTGTATATTCTGAAATGTTCTCACAATTAGTCTCTGCTTTGAATGCAAACTCCGGATGCAGTGAAGTTAAGTTATCTGCGGAGTTATCACCAACAATGTAAAACAAGGAAAGGAGCAAAAAGTTTTCCAGCTGCCAGGGTCAGCCTGCAGATTCTGGGAAGACGGCGCTAAAGGAAATATTCACTTACCTGCTCCAGCTTTCCAGACGCACACCTGGAGCCCGAGTTCAGCTGCCTGCCCCGATCCGTGGGTCTCTTCCTCAGCAAGCAGTTGCACTCCATTTTGCATCTCGGTATAGAAAGCTGAATCTAAAGAGAAACTACTTTTTAAGAGAAGTTTCTTAAGCGAAGTGCACAGCAACGCAGCTCCTGGAGAAGGAAGCAGCCCGCTACCCCAGCTAGAAGGTATCTCAGTTTACGCTAGCTGTGATTCCGGCTCACTGTGAACTGCTGGTGCTTTCTTACATTGCGATTATGACTTTAGAAAGGCTGACTCGCATAAAAAATACCTATAAAGATTTACTCGTTTTGTTAGATTTGGAAATACATTTCCCCATTTTTCCACTACTTTAAACTAGCTGTTTTTAATCTCCAAAGCAGTCATTGGGAAAGAAGAGTGGGGGAGGAGCAGCATTTATATAAAGAGTTTAACCAAAGCACATTAAATATTTTCCCAACATCACCAAATAAACAGCAATCCTCCAGCTCCCTATAAACTATTTAAAGCACGTCATATCATCTCTTCTGCTCTTGCCAGTGTACTTTCCTTTTAATTTATAAGCCGATTAGAGCAAGGGCCTGTCTTTTTGTATATATTTGCAAAATGTCTGGCACTCTTTCAGTCAGTTACAGTTCAGCAAACACTTAAACCTGCATTTAACTTTTGTATCATAGGTAGTTACTTTGATTTTTTTCCTCACTTTTGTAAAGCTACTGCTTATAAAAGTGCTTGTTGTAAATGATCTGAGCAGTCTTTGAAGGCATTCAGCAGAGGAGATCTCTTTGGATGTCGTAGGCAGGACTGTTCCAATAAAAAGGCAAGGGAAATTTAAACTGAGCTCTCAGGCTGTAGAAATCGGTCCAAAAGAAAATGGGGAAAACCTTCTCAGGAGGAACATTTTTAATTCGCTAGAAAATAAACTTCTGCTCCTAGATGATGAGAGTTATTATCAATAGAGGATGTGCTGTACCAAACAAACCTCCATTAGGCCAGGAAGGATAAAACAAGTTAGACAGCCTTTAAAAAAAAATGTCTGTGATTCCCGAGATATCAACCATGTCTGTTTCTGTAGTGCTGTCAAGTAAACCTGAGTTATGGATGCTCTAAAAGAAGCCAGCAAGGAGAAAATTAGCAAGAGAAAATAAAGAACGCTACGTATAGATACCCTAACAGAATATATTTTCTTTTCAGGCTCTTAAACGCCTGCCCTGTACCATGGCCTGAGTTACTTGTTCTCCCCAAACAATTTCTGAGGAGAAGAGCAAGTCCAGTGAATGTGGTAAAGCTGTGGCCATTAGAGCATGTAATTGCACGACAGATTCTTTTTTATGGAGGTTTTTGCTCTTTGTGCACTGCAGCGTCCATCATTTTCACGGCAAGAGCCTTAATGCTTGCAACGGACCTCCTAAAATTACCAATGCATAAAGGTGGATGTTGCACGATCCGAACTCCGCTTTTAAAACGTTTTTTTTTTTTTTTGGCATGGTTATCTATCACTTGTCATCTGAATGAACAGGCAGAAGACAACGGCTTGATTTAATACGGTAGCTGTGTATCGCCCTTTAGCATAGGTGACCTGTGAAGTTCTGTAACAAGCAAAAACAGTTGCCTGGACGAGGGAGACTGGCTAGCGAGGGAGCCCAGGGACAAGACAGGAAGCCTACTGAAAGAGCTTCTTCCTTCTATTCACGCAAAAAAGCAAGACAACAACCAAAACCAAGTGCCTGGTCAGGAAAAGCACATTCGGAAACGCTGTCTTTGCATTTCTGTCAGCATGAAATGCACATAAAGTGCTTTCTCCAAATCTAGCCGTAGGAAAAGAGAGCACTGTGGTGCCAGGAAAGTTTATCTGCGCTCAGTAGCTGCCTAACGACGAAGAGAGGGAAAGAAGGGGGCAGGAACCAAAAGAAGGCACCAGCCCGGTGAAGCCTGCGAGCGCGGGCTCTCCCCGGGCGGCACGCAGATCCCCGGGGAAGGCGCACGAGAACGGAGCTGAATTTTAGGCAGCTGCTGAGAAATGATCATTTTTCTTTTTGCAACTTTATTCTATGAGCATTTAGTTACTGTGCGCTCTGCTAGAATAAACTGGATGTATTCTTTCCTTAATCTGTCTGTTTTAATCTGCGCCGTCTCAAAGCGCTCTGACAAACGCAGGCTACGCTAGTCCTGCAGATCCGCTCATGGAGAGAACCAGCAAGTTCCCAAAGTGTCTGTCTCCCAACAGGTGTTTTGAGGCTCTTGAAAACCGAGGTGCACGATTTCCACAAAGCTATGACAACTGCTCTGGAGGCTGATAAAACCAGGTACCATCGCAGCAGGCAGAAATCCTCTCTGCCCAACGCCTCTCCAGCAAGCAGGAAAAAACCAAACCAAACCAAACCAAAACGGATTACGGCTGAGAATATCTGAGTGTGCAACAACGCCCTTTGGCAGAGAATGCCCTTTAGATCCTCGAACTTCCCTGTACTAATCAATGGTCTGATACAGCTTTTGTTTTTCATATCTTGAGTAAAAGTAAATGTGACAGCAATTTGACACAGTCAAATAGATTTAGAGGACAAATACAATAGTGAGACCCGTAGCTCTGCAGCGCTCACAGTACCCTCATAAACGTTTTTCTCAAACGGAGCCCAGCCCTGAAGAGCAGAGAGATGTGTAGCATTATCCTCGTTTCACATCATCACGGGAAAAAGAGAGAGAAGTGAATACTCCAACTTTACAAGCCCGAGAATGAATGCAAGCATGTTTTTGTCCCACCATCTGGGAAGAGATGATAGAGGTGAAGGAAGAGGGAATACAGGGGGTGGTAAAACTTCACAGAGACCTTATATATTTCCGCAGAAATGCTTCACATTCCAGCAGCAAACACGAAGGAAGCGGACATGAGGAGTAGATCAGAGAGGGGAAATAGGAAGATGGATGAAGTGCAGGACTGGAGGAGCAAACAAGTCAATTACGAAAGGGAGAAAAGCGCTGTGTGCAGACACCAAGGAGGAGAGGCAGCTCAGCGGAAGAAACGGCAGCCAAAGGAGCACGCCAAGAAGCTGCCAGGGTGAGGGAGGCAGGAAAAAAAAAAAAAAAAAAAACAGAATCTTCCAGGTAATTGCAAGACTGTAAAACACCTCGGTCACCAGAGCCTGCAGCTCTGGTTGGACCACTGAGTGCTGCCCTGCTGCGAACAAACGCCGGAGGAACCAGCTAGGACAAAGCTGCAAACCGATGGTTTGGGAAGAGATATTAGAAGAAAACATGAAGATCGTGGTTAGGGAATGAGAAGAGGAACTATTCTCCAACTGTGTGCCATGACTGGAAACCAAAAAAGTAGATGAAGGAGAAAAAGTGAAATGCTAGCTGTGTAGAAGCAGAGGATGCCGAGGATGAGCCCTGGAGACTAGGAGAATCGGAAAGGCAAAAATGAGCACAAAGACTGAGGGGAAAATGCCAGAAGGCCCTGAGATGTGCTAATGGAGGGAGAAGAAGCTGGGCTGCGGCTGGATAAACCTGAAATCAACACCCTCCTTCCCCTTTTCAGTGAAAATTTTAAAACAAATACAGAAAAGCAAACATCTTTCTGCATAAAATTTCAATAACAATAGTTAAGTTCCAGAACTGCTTTTCTTTAAGGCAGTGATGGAGAGATGAGGGTCTGGGAGCACCACATCAAAGGGAGAAAGTACAGAATCGGGAGAATGCCTTTCGGGTTCCCCAGCTATCCAATGGCACAGTTTACCTGCAGCTTAATACGAATCTGATACAAAATCCATCCCTCTGATGAGTAAGTGAATAGTTCCTCCCCCTGTCTGAGAGGCAAGAGGGCAGGAGAGAAGTGCTGCATGATAACAAGGAGCTGCAAGAGAAGCATTTCCCCAGCCCTTATAGCAACAGAGCCCCACAGCAACCCCGATGCAGCGTTGGTAGGACAGCGGAAATCAGAGGAAGGTTGTGGGAAGGGCGCAGGGTCCCCAGGCCAGGCACAGGAGCTTATCACCCAGAAACAAGCGCAGGGAAAGGGCATATATTCACAATGCACACATTTCCTTTGTCCTTTCTGCCAGGATCTGGGTGTTGTACTCTTCTCCCTCCAGAGCTTTCTTTCTGTAAGCCCTTTAGTAACAGCAGCATGGAGAAGGCTAAAAATAAAATTATATTACCAATATAATAGGCATGCAATTGCTTGTCTGTTTTCTTTGACAAAGTGATGCTTTATTTCCTGTACAATGGAAACTATAGTTTGATGTTACAGCTATTGGTTTTTGACTGAATGCAGAAATTTGATTTAAACAATGACTCCCCCCCCATTTAGTATTGCCATATGTCGCTGATTATATATTTAGGTTGCAGAAATGAATTACATTTCATGGCTTCCTCGAGTTAGATTCTCTTGAAGCGGATTGTCTTCAGCCATTAACCAAAATACTTGGAAATCAGCTTTAACCTGAAACAGCAGACTTGTGGTATCATTTCAGGAGAAAACTGGTTATCACAAACTAAGTGCTTAACAAGTCATCACCCAGAGGGCTTGGGTAAAGCTTTACAAACCTGCAATGATTGTTTCTGGGATAAAGAAAACAGGGTTTAATTAAACACCGCAGAGTCATAGATGGAAAAAAAAAAGTACAGTGCAATGTTCAGAGTTCCCTTGCCTGGGGTCTTATTCCTTCTGCTCAAGAAGTTATCATATATCCCACATCTCAGTGGTTATTTCTCTTACTTGGGGAAAGTATCTGCTCTCAGTTGGCTGCACAGCATTAGTGATGATCACTTTGCACGCATGCTCCATGAGACACCAGCCATATTTTTGCTAGATTTCTCCTCACTTTCTGGGGAAAAATCCAGATTTTCTTTACTGCTGTTTCCCATCATGATTTGGAACTGCTAACGTTTCCCCTCCACCCAGTAGCAATCCCCTGGCTGCCCCTCTCCCTTTCTTAGAGGACCAACATTATTCCTAACAGAAGAGCAATGTCATAAGTAGAAAACAGGTAAAAGAAGGAGACGGCAGTATAAGGAGAAAATGAGCACAGCAGTTCACTGCTTGCTCAAAGATGCAGCAGGCAGGATACAGCTGGGACAGGCCTCAGTGAGAGCCTTAGAGATTCATGTTATACTTTGCCAAAGACTCAGTCAATTGAGCATGTGTTAAAGCACAGTTTGTTTTGTCTTGTTTGAAGCTTTGGAAGATATTTCCATTTTGAATCATTGAACATGCTCCAGCAACACACCTGTAACTTCTGGAGTGCATCCTCTCAGCAAGAGGCTGGCTAGCACGTCGTCACTTGTGCAGGGCAAATCCTACTGAAAGCAAATCAAGCCACAGCTTTCGCACCAGTTTACTTTCACACATAGCACATGTAAGCTAACATTTGGCAATAATGCAGCTGGGTCCTGATCTAGACAGAGCTCATAGCAACAGATGGTGTTCGATGCAGCAGGACCAAGATAGCTTCACCCTAAACTGAGCATTATTTCTCTTCCGCATCTTACATGCTCCAGCCACATCTTTTCCAGAGTGGAGCTATTGTCACTAGGGCTTTGCAATCAATCCTCTCATCTCTCAAGCTGTTCCAGACCACATGCCACATTCAACCTACTGGTTATAACCTAGTCCTAACACCCAGGTTATTTTGTTCCTGCCTAAGCATCTCACTGCATGAGGCTGGATCTTATCATATTGTACATTAATATAACATTAGGATAGGAAGAGATACTCTGAGCCAGCTGCTACAGACAGTTTGTGCTTTCAGTGAAGGAGGAAACATCCATTCCACTGCACACAGTAGCTTGGTCAGCACGCATGAAAGCAGCACTAGTAGTTAGCAATCTAACGAGCTACATCTGGTGCCCATTTTGGGGCAAAGCCATGGAAAAGCTAGCAAAAATCAGCCTCCCATACCACCTCTTTCAAGCATGAAAATTTCATCCTAAGGGATGAAATATTCAGAAGAGAAAACCTAGCATTGAAGTGAATGTTGCAGTGAACCTGTAAGATACAAGATGTGACCAGCCGGGTCTGGAGCTTCAGTTGCTAACAGATTTTCTGCCACAGGTTCATTTTGCCAGTAGAATTACGGAGAGAGATTGCCACCTTGTGGTTCCTCCTCCTGCAGTGCCACGGCTCCCCTTCTCATTTTTTTAATTGAGTAGCCTAACATCAGTGGTTTTCAACCTGCTGCCTGGGGATTTCTGGTGACAATAATGCTATGGACAAGAATAATACTTCCCAAGTATCTTGTTAACTAAAAAAGCCAGCCTGTAGTTCACAGCTTTAAATTCCTATACTGAGGGACCCATCACTGGAAAACCCTTCAGGAGTCCACGGGTTAATATAGACTAGTAACTACTGACACAAGTACATAGCTTCCAAACAACGATCCAAAATGCCTTGGCAGTGATGCACAAAATACATTGTCTTTATAATATTTTCAGCATCCAGAAGTCTGAGAAATTGAGGGCTGATGACAGTCTGCAGTTCCAAAAATTTGAGATGGTCTCAGGCAGCAGTTCCCACTTGGTCCTAGAATGGAAGGAGCAGTCATATATTTTTCCCCATTACTTGCACATAGAAAGGCACAACCGGACAAAACTTACCCCCTCCCTAGTCACTCTAGGTACCATTTAAGACAATTTGCAAGATCTGTTACCAGGACAGTATATGTGAATAGGGGTAAGGTCTGGAAAAAGAGCTTACCAGTTAGCTCCTCAGTAAATCGTGCCCAGGAGGAGCACCAGACAGTATTTCTCCACTGGAGCCAGCGCATTAGAACGAGAAAATCATCAAGATCCAGAGCTAGTGAAGCAGCAGAGTCCCTGTGAAATCCCAGATAATTAATCAGCTTTAGAAAGAATTTCATTGCCTTCTTCTGAGAAGGAGAGAATCTCTCCTGGCACAATGAACACAGGCCTCTCGGCTAGCTTTTTATGGCAAGGACTCCTACGTGCTTCCTGACCTACCAACACAGTCTATTTTCATGGGTGCAAGGAGAGATGGAGAGCTGTCAAATGTCAGCACTGATCACGCCACAGGCCACCTTTCCGTGCCAGTTCTATGCTTGCCCCTGCCACAGCTGAGCCAGGAGGCTCTGTTTCGCCCTGCCCGAAGCCAAAGGGACAGGCAGTGCCGTGGTCTGATGGTCAGACCATGGCAGAAAAGACCATGGGACCCTTTTTGTTGCTGATAGGGGTCCCAGAGCACTGACTCTAGTGTCACACTAGTTCTCTCCCTTCTTTGCTCCTAGGGCCGGGAACCTATTCAGTAGCTACTGGAGGTGTGCTGGGGTTCAGCTTTTGCATCGGCGTTAGACGAGGATGGAGATGAAGGGTGAAGATCATGTCTCGGACCACTGTACACCCGTGAAGGATGCCTTCCGTGGAACTGCAGAGCTGTGAGGAATAATCAGAAATTTGGAGAGCTTCCTTTCCCTCCCTGACATTTTGTGACTAGTTTCCTACTTTGCCATCAGCGTGCCTGTTCCAGCTGTCAGCAGCGTCAGTTATTTTCTGATTCCCCAGCCTCTGTTTCAAGGCTGTCCTCCTGGATGTTGGTCCAGGAAAGAGCCAATAAGTTTAATGTTAGATGACTAGCAAGATGACTAGCTAATCATTAGATGATTAGCCAGTTAAGTGTTCCCTGTATGTGTGCCTTCTTAGCACACACTTCCTAAGCTGTTAAATCCCCTTTGCTCATCACGCTCTCCTTTGAATCTAGAGATAAGAATAAACGTTAATTAATGGGTGATACATTTGTTTCCTAGCAAGACTGCAAGGTTACGACTATCCCACCATTAAGAAAAAGTCACCCCCACAGGAAAGAATGAAAGGGAAAGGAGTCTGAACTTACAAGGAGCCCTGAAAAGCGAGAGCGAGGCCTCAGCAGAGCGCAGAGGGAGGCCAACCGCAGATCCCGGGGCAGCGCCACATTCAGCTCC